AGAGGTGGTATCTATACGACTCCTAATTTCCAGGTCGATCAGTTTTTCGAGTCTTGAGGAGAAAGGATGATAAGCTAATGGGTCTATAGTCCTTTGGTGCAGAGTGGCTTGGTTTCCCCGCTTTGAGAATCTAAGTAACCTTTACCTCGTTCTAAAGATCCGGAACATACGAGAGAGTCAAACACGTCGTATAGATCCTCTCAAGGATCAGATATATGCTTGGCGAGGCAAATTGAGGCATCGCCGGTATGATTACATCTGGTCATGGCGATTTATACGGTTTGAATGTATTGACTGCCCATCGTATCTTATTTCTGTTAACCATCTTGCCAATGAGATCCAAATCTGGAGTCACAAGAGGCTGACTGTCATCACGTTCACCGTCGATGGTACCCATATCTTTGCAACCTGGGAAATTAGTCTCAGCTATGAGATTAAGAGTCTCAGAATCAGAGTCCACGCTCCATCCTGCTTCTTGATACTTCCGATGGACTTCGGATCCTTGGGTAGTAATCTTAGAAACATAGCAGCGTCGTTGACACCTTCTATCGACTCACAGAAATGTATCTAAGACTTTTTCTTTGTGCGTTTGATCTCACTCAAGTTTTGATTTATGCGCCCTGTCGTACAGTCGTTTTGTCGCTTTCCTGAGCTCACCAAGTTTCCTGTTCCACCACACTGGCTGAGATTTTTTCCCAGGGTATGTAATCGGACAGGATTCCTTATGGCATCTGAGAAGAACGTCCGTTAGATTGTCTTTAAGGCTGTTGTTTACCTCCGTCAAAAAAGACCTCGAAGAAAATCTTCAAATGATCCGAAAAGATCAAGTCGAGGACAACATCGCCGAAAATGGTCTTTCAAATTGGAAAAACTGCGCAAAAGACCGACGCGTCTGGAAATCTTTTCTGGGCTCGACTTATGGAATGAAAGTTCTGTCACAAGCCAGCTAAGGGGGATCCGAAAAGGAACATTCATCAGATACCCTCCAATTGCTGATGACGGAGTCATCTAGATTTGAGAGAGTTAAGTCAATGACCTCCTCTCTATCACTAATTTTAAAGATCGGGTAATAGGGATAGCACATATACGTAAATTATAGGATAGAATAAAATCGAAAATAGACTCACCTCGTTTGTTAGGGTCCTTGCTACCCCATTGGAAATGGTGAGCGTTTGCATCGCATCCCAGGATGACGTTGCAGGTGCTCGTCATTTCGTCAAGCATCATTCGTACTCTTCTTACCTACTTTACAGATCCTCACCTTGTCCCCCATGGACGGGCGAATATGTCGAAATTGACATTCCTTAATCCAGAAACCATATTTTTATATATAATTCAGAGTTCGTGAGGGTACTCCTGTCCCTTCGGCGGCTGCGGCCTTGCAATGATACAGATTATTCTGCAGGATGCGCAGCCTTTGTCGCTTTCCTACTCCTATTGAGTTTCGGTGGATGTGTTCAGTCGAAAACGAACCCATCCTGAACCGAAGTTCAATTTTCCCTCACGCTCCCTGAGGTATGCCTCCCCCGGTGGATCAACTGCTACTCTTGCGACCATCCCTCCATCCTCGTTACAAGGAGCTAGACTTACAACAGTCCAGTTCGATGCAGTGAGGCTGGGATTTTGCAGCGCCAACATTTTCAGCAGGAGTTCCTGGTCCACTGGATGTGGGCGAACCCAGGCTGAGAGGACCCGTCTGGTTGGGATCTCGGATAGGGAGTCGATGTAGTGAGGCTGGGATTTTGCAGCGCCAACATTTTCAGCAGGAGTTCCTGGTCCACTGGATGTGGGCGAACCCAGGCTGAGAGGACCCGTCTGGTTGGGATCTCGGCTAGGGAGTCTTTAGCTTCACCTTTGTCGCTAGGCGTAGAATCGGGCTTTGAGACACGTTGATCACCCTTATGGGTGACATTTTGCCTTTTCCTGTGCGATTCCCCATCGACGGACATCGCCTCCGTCGAAGATTGCCTCTGAAGTTTATTGTCGGCAAGTGCCAACACAAGACCTGTTGTAGTCAGACTTGAAGTCGGTCGGTCAACAGGGTCTGCGCTTCCTTCGTTAATACTACAACAATCCCCCTGTGTAGACTTGGCTGGGATCAACGTGGTGTCCAGCTCATCATCAGTTAGAAGCGTATCCCTACATTGCTCTTCCGGTATCAGTCTGTCTAACTGGTCGAAGAAATCCTTACTTTGCTTATCTAGACTATCGCGGATAGCGTCTAGAGTCCCGTGTAGAAATTTTCTTGAAATCTGACTGCATCCAATATTATAATCGGCTACGATTGTAGCCTCATTGTGGTGTACTCATTATTGAGTACACCACAATGATGCGAGAATGTTCCTTCATCTTGTTTCCTGAAAACTTTATAAACGACATTCCATCGACACAATTACAAAAATATTGCATATTTTATAAATTTCGCTTCGCATTGCCAACAAAAATGGCGCCCAACAGATAAATTTATGATTTCATCACCAACAGTGTCCTACAAACCTCGCTTCACGAAGAAAACAAAAATGGCGCCCAACTGAAATTTAAATGTTTATGATGGTCTTAACGAGGAGACTGCAATGATCCCAGATATGAAAATATTTTCAAAGATCGATATCGTTAGAAATTTGCTTGAAGTCTGACTGCATCCAATACCATAATGGCGTGACTGCATCCAATACCATAATGAAATACTTCGAAGACTTGTTCGTTATGCTGTGGGACAATAATTGCGTATTCTACAAACACCGCATTGCAAAAAAAAAAAAAAAAATGGCGCCCAACTGACTAATTTATGATCATATTATTGAGGAGACTACAATAATGCCGGAATGTTCATTCATGTTATTTCCTGAAAACATTTTAGACGGAGGACAGCCGATTATCGTCAGAAATTGCCTTGAAGGCTGACTACCAATACCATAAGCGGCTACGATTCCAAAAAAGACATGTGTCAGCATTATTCTAAAATGCTTTGAAAACAAGCTCGTTATGTTGTCGGACAACAATTGCATATTCTATAAACTTGGCTTCGCAAAGCCAACAAAAATGGCGCCCAATTGAAATTTTAAAAAAATGTACGATCATCTTTATGAGTACACTTCAATAATGCCAGAATGTCACTTCATTTTGTTTACTCAAAACTTTATAAACGACATTCCATCGAAGTACGGCTGATTATCGTTAGCAATTTTCTAAAAAACTGACAGCATCCAATACCATAAACGATGACTACGATTGCCACAAAGACATGCTGGAGCCTTAAAAAAATATATTGCGTATTCTATTAATCTCGCTTCACATTGCCAACAAAAATGGCGCCCAACAGACAAATTTATGATTTCATCACCAACAGTGTCTTGTTTTGTAGAGCAAAGACTTCGAACATGCGTTCTGTTATGAACTCGCTCCCCCAACCCCTGACGAACACCGTTGCCTTTTTTAATTGAGAAAGGCCCATTTTTCTCTCATTGCTGACCGCATCTTTCACCTCCTTAAAGGTCTTCCTTTTTAGTTTTCCAGACGCACTGATTTTGTCGATCACTGCATACCATAACTCGTCTCTGTTGTGCCTCCTGCTAACCTTTGCATAAAATGGCGGCTCCTTGCCATTCCTTGCCGCTGTTTTCCTCTTTCGTGATTTCTGTTTAATAATTTTGGAGTAGCCGGATTTCACGAAAAAAAAATCAGATGCTGCGCTCTTCTTATTGATATTAGAACCGGCATCGTTACCCTCAGTTAATGGCTTTTGACAGTCTCCTTTGATTTGTATTGTCAATGCATTCTCTTGCTATCAGTTGATGGGAAGCTCTTTTTCTGTGGATTTTACGTTCGTCTCCTCTTCCGGAGACCTAATCCTCTTCACCACTTCCAATAAAGTGTCCTATCCACTCAGGTTTAGTGGATAGGACACTTCAGGTTTATCCTTCTGAGCATTAGCTTCCTGTTCCTAATTGTGTTCCTTCGGTTATTGCGGCGATTTTTCGTATTTGTGCCCCAAATAACTGCTTCTCTCTTGATATGAGCTTTGCGATCTCCCTGCTCACTTCCTCAACTTTCATATCAGCCTCTACGCTCCTTCGGTTTCCGGTTGAACGGTTGTATTTGTCATGTCTTCATGTTCAGACTCAGAATTTGAGTCCACTCCTGTTTCAGAAGTTTGGGTGGAGGTTAGATGAAGATGTAGAAGATGTTTGTTCACGATCGCAGGATAACGACGGGGCGTAATTCGTCGGCAGATGAATGGCACCCGCCGGTACTGGGTAATTTAGACTCTGCACCGTAACTTTATCTATATTCTTACTTTCCATACTATTTGTTTTGTTTTTGGGGAACAGCCCTTTAGTCAGTATTGATCTGCGCGGACAATGCCCTAAAGGTTGGTGAGCATACTATCCCAATATCTTCAGTTTTCACTGACTGTAATAAGATAGTGTGATCATCCACCATCACCCCTTCAGTTATTCAGAATAATGAATATTCATTGAAACGCCATAAAGCAATCCCAAATGCATGGCGCCCAAATGATAAAATTGTGGTAATCTTTAAAAGGAGACTAGGATGTTGTTAGGCTGGTTAATGTCTCATAATTTTTGATAGGTAACACCTACTTCCGAGACACGCTCGATCCTCGAATTACAATGAATGGCGCCCAAAATGACAAAGGCCGTATTAACATAATTTCAAGGTGATTGGAACTTTGCCAAGGTGATTGGAACTTTCCTATGTAGATAAAATTTTATTGGGACATTCCATGGAAGGATAGTAGGGTGATGATAGGCTGCTTAATGTCCCGATCCTCAACTTGCAATGAATGGCGCCCAAATGACCGTATTACAAAAGTTGCATGTATAAACCCAGACTAATCAAGGCGTACATTTTTTTAATTTTTTTCCAAGTAGTAATCAAGTTTTTCTTATTATGGGATTTATTTTATACATTTGTTTACTGGAAACCTTATCGTATCGATTTAATATTAATTTATATTCTTTCTTCCTTTTTTTCAGAGGCTGGAATCGTGTAATTATCGAAAAACCCTTCGGCCGTGATGACATCTCCTCGAAAGAGCTTAGTGATCATTTGGCCTCACTTTTCCACGAAGAACAAATTTATCGTATCGATCATTATTTGGGCAAAGAAATGGTGCAAAATCTAATGACCATACGCTTCGGTAATAAGATATTGGGTTCAACGTGGAATCGTGAAAATATTGCCTCCGTGTTGATAACATTTAAGGAGCCATTTGGCACGGAGGGACGTGGTGGCTATTTCGATCAATTCGGTATTATTCGTGATGTTATGCAAAATCATTTGTTGCAAATTCTATCCCTGGTGGCCATGGAGAAACCGGTTAGCTGTCATCCGGATGATATACGTGATGAGAAGGTTAAAGTGTTGAAAAGTATACGAGCATTGACGCTGGATGATATGGTTTTGGGTCAATATATTGGTAATCCCGAGGGAACGGGTGAAGCAAAATTGGGTTATTTAGATGATCCAACAGTTAATCCGGAATCTACCACACCCACCTATGCTTTGGGAGTGTTGCACATCAACAATGAACGTTGGCAGGGTGTACCGTTCATATTGCGTTGCGGCAAAGCATTGAATGAACGTAAGGCTGAGGTTCGTATACAATATCAAGATGTACCCGGTGACATATTCGAGGGTAGTGCCAAACGTAATGAACTGGTTATACGTGTCCAACCCGGTGAGGCGTTGTACTTTAAAATGATGACCAAATCGCCGGGTATCACTTTCGATATTGAAGAAACGGAGCTGGATTTGACGTATGAACAGCGTTACCGAGATTCCTACTTACCCGATGCCTATGAACGTCTGATCTTGGATGTGTTCTGTGGCTCGCAGATGCACTTTGTGCGATCCGATGAGTTGCGCGAAGCTTGGCGTATTTTCACACCGATACTACATCAAATCGAGGATGAGAAAATTAAACCAATACCCTATGTTTATGGATCACGTGGCCCCAAAGAGGCGGATCGTAAATTACATGAAAGTAATTTCTTATATTATGGTTCATATAAATGGCATGGTAATAATGGTTTAAACAATAATAATAACAATAACAACAATAATAATAAGTAATCAAATCTCTGGTTTGATATTAAGACAAAAAATTTCATTATTGTACAAATTTTCAAAAAAAGATCACTAGGACTCACATCGAATTTAAATTAGAAACCCCATCATGAAAATAATTAAATTGAGATTTTTCCATTGCCAATTTGTTTTGTAAAATAAATTTCCTTTCTCCGTTGGGAACACATGTCTCTCACTCGATCCATTCCAATTCGCTGCTCTAACCTCACTTATTTTTAAAATCATGAATTGTTATTTTTTTACTTATTATACATCTTTTTTGTATATAAATTGGATTTATGGTTATTTTTTTATACAAACATACATTTTTTGTACGAATATTTATACAAGAAAAAAATATAATAAAGATTTTAAAATCTGTTTATGTGTGGTTTTTATTTTTATTTCAGTACTTTATATTTTTTTTAAATCCACGCCTAAAGGTAGACCCCTAAAAATTGTATTTAAAAATCGACGCCAAAAGGTACACCCTTAAAATTGTATTTAAAAATCGACGCCAAAAGGTACACCCTTAAAATTGTATTTAAAAATCCAGGCCTAAAGCTAGACCCTTAAAAATTTTATTTAAAAATCCACGCCTAAAGCTAGACTCTTAAAAAATGTATTTAAAAATTCACGCCTAAAGTAGACTCTTAAAAAATGTATTTAAAAATTCACGCCTAAAGGTAGACTCTTAAAAATTGTATTTAAAAATCCACGCCTAAAGGTAGACTCTTAAAAAATGTATTTAAAAATCCACGCCTAAAGGTAGACTCTTAAAAATTGTTTTTAAAAATCCACGCCTAAAGGTAGATCCTTAGGTTAGGTTTGGGGATATGCAGTCACTTATGTGGCTGCAGCACTCTGAGATAGTCAGGTCCGTTGTGATCATCCACGAGAAGAAAAGAGATAAGGAGAGATCTATAGGGGAGAGAAGATTGGGGAAATAAAGAGAGATGAGAAGCTTACAAGAAGATATAAGAAGGTAAGTTTGGAATAATGTCGATGGCTATAGAGATCAGACAGAAGATATATTACGTGTCAAGGTTGCACTTTCCCAACCACGTAAGCCAGGGCTGAATAGTGACACAGAAGATGCTCAATTGTCTCCGTCTCCTCCTCGTCAACGCAGAGTCTACAGTAATCAATTGCATCAAGATCCCATTTACTAGTAGAGGCCCTGATATTACCACCTCGTGCAGTGCAGATTCTACGGACTTGCCCTTTATGTATGCGTGCTGTGAGTTGCTAAGAGAGGTGGTATCTATACGACTCCTAATTTCCAGGTCGATCAGTTTTTCGAGTCTTGAGGAGAAAGGATGATAAGCTAATGGGTCTATAGTCCTTTGGTGCAGAGTGGCTTGGTTTCCCCGCTTTGAGAATCTAAGTAACCTTTACCTCGTTCTAAAGATCCGGAACATACGAGAGAGTCAAACACGTCGTATAGATCCTCTCAAGGATCAGATATATGCTTGGCGAGGCAAATTGAGGCATCGCCGGTATGATTACATCTGGTCATGGCGATTTATACGGTTTGAATGTATTGACTGCCCATCGTATCTTATTTCTGTTAACCATCTTGCCAATGAGATCCAAATCTGGAGTCACAAGAGGCTGACTGTCATCACGTTCACCGTCGATGGTACCCATATCTTTGCAACCTGGGAAATTAGTCTCAGCTATGAGATTAAGAGTCTCAGAATCAGAGTCCACGCTCCATCCTGCTTCTTGATACTTCCGATGGACTTCGGATCCTTGGGTAGTAATCTTAGAAACATAGCAGCGTCGTTGACACCTTCTATCGACTCACAGAAATGTATCTAAGACTTTTTCTTTGTGCGTTTGATCTCACTCAAGTTTTGATTTATGCGCCCTGTCGTACAGTCGTTTTGTCGCTTTCCTGAGCTCACCAAGTTTCCTGTTCCACCACACTGGCTGAGATTTTTTCCCAGGGTATGTAATCGGACAGGATTCCTTATGGCATCTGAGAAGAACGTCCGTTAGATTGTCTTTAAGGCTGTTGTTTACCTCCGTCAAAAAAGACCTCGAAGAAAATCTTCAAATGATCCGAAAAGATCAAGTCGAGGACAACATCGCCGAAAATGGTCTTTCAAATTGGAAAAACTGCGCAAAAGACCGACGCGTCTGGAAATCTTTTCTGGGCTCGACTTATGGAATGAAAGTTCTGTCACAAGCCAGCTAAGGGGGATCCGAAAAGGAACATTCATCAGATACCCTCCAATTGCTGATGACGGAGTCATCTAGATTTGAGAGAGTTAAGTCAATGACCTCCTCTCTATCACTAATTTTAAAGATCGGGTAATAGGGATAGCACATATACGTAAATTATAGGATAGAATAAAATCGAAAATAGACTCACCTCGTTTGTTAGGGTCCTTGCTACCCCATTGGAAATGGTGAGCGTTTGCATCGCATCCCAGGATGACGTTGCAGGTGCTCGTCATTTCGTCAAGCATCATTCGTACTCTTCTTACCTACTTTACAGATCCTCACCTTGTCCCCCATGGACGCGGCGAATATGTCGAAATTGACATTCCTTAATCCAGAAACCATATTTTTATATATAATTCAGAGTTCGTGAGGGTACTCCTGTCCCTTCGGCGGCTGCGGCCTTGCAATGATACAGATTATTCTGCAGGATGCGCAGCCTTTGTCGCTTTCCTACTCCTATTGAGTTTCGGTGGATGTGTTCAGTCGAAAACGAACCCATCCTGAACCGAAGTTCAATTTTCCCTCACGCTCCCTGAGGTATGCCTCCCCCGGTGGATCAACTGCTACTCTTGCGACCATCCCTCCATCCTCGTTACAAGGAGCTAGACTTACAACAGTCCAGTTCGATGCAGTGAGGCTGGGATTTTGCAGCGCCAACATTTTCAGCAGGAGTTCCTGGTCCACTGGATGTGGGCGAACCCAGGCTGAGAGGACCCGTCTGGTTGGGATCTCGGATAGGGAGTCGATGTAGTGAGGCTGGGATTTTGCAGCGCCAACATTTTCAGCAGGAGTTCCTGGTCCACTGGATGTGGGCGAACCCAGGCTGAGAGGACCCGTCTGGTTGGGATCTCGGCTAGGGAGTCTTTAGCTTCACCTTTGTCGCTAGGCGTAGAATCGGGCTTTGAGACACGTTGATCACCCTTATGGGTGACATTTTGCCTTTTCCTGTGCGATTCCCCATCGACGGACATCGCCTCCGTCGAAGATTGCCTCTGAAGTTTATTGTCGGCAAGTGCCAACACAAGACCTGTTGTAGTCAGACTTGAAGTCGGTCGGTCAACAGGGTCTGCGCTTCCTTCGTTAATACTACAACAATCCCCCTGTGTAGACTTGGCTGGGATCAACGTGGTGTCCAGCTCATCATCAGTTAGAAGCGTATCCCTACATTGCTCTTCCGGTATCAGTCTGTCTAACTGGTCGAAGAAATCCTTACTTTGCTTATCTAGACTATCGCGGATAGCGTCTAGAGTCCCGTGTAGGTCGCCCCCTCCCAGAACTACAGTCCTGTCAACCAGAGACTGATTTTCATCAGTCTTGACCTATTCGTTTGCCAAAAGAATAGCCGATTCGTCAACGTTTAGATTTAGAATTGATACACTTGTAACAGATACAGCTGCAGGTGCCAAGGCATCCACACCTAGAACAGCCTGATCACAATCGATTGGTCTCGACGACACGTGGCTTGTGACCTCATCCTTAACAAGATTTTAAAAAAATTCACGTCTAGGGTGTACTCAAAAAGATACAAAATATATATAAAAAAATTGCATTCGTTTTTATTTTCACAACATGATTTGCTCAATAATGTCTTTAAGGCTTATTGCATTCTATATATATAAATATCTGATATACGTGTAAAAAATTGATTATAAAATATTTACGTTAGTCACTTTTAAATACTACAAACTAAACATTTAACTTAAAGTTAATATGGGAAATACTTAAGGGGTCTTGTTTCTTTTTGTAAAAAAAAAATCATATTTCAATATGATATATTCAACATTTCGTGATGTATAAATAACGTAAAAGTACACTTATTGGCAAACTCCCTCCACCGCTGCAGTAAAAACATTCGCATTTTCTTATCATCTACCCATTGAAACCATTTTAACTTCAGCATTACCATGATCGGGTAATATGTGTTTCACCGACCCAACACAGGTATTTTTTAGACTCTGCTCTTTGGAACGTTTCAAACATTCATCGTAGTAACATTTCTCCACATTGTGCAGAAATTCAATGAGCAGTTTCGAATCACCACCATTGGGACCAACGAAAAATTCACATTCCATGGCATTGGGTTTTTTCAAATCGCGTACACAACAATTTAGGAAATCCGGATTGGCCGAGAACCAATTATTCAATCGTTGCAGTGGTATGTTTAATGGCTCGCGCAATATACCCGTTATCCAGGTATCATCAATCCAAAATATTGGTGAACTATAGGCCTGATTGACCAAACGTAAGGCCGTCTTGGGATTGGTAATATATAACCAACCCGATAAATACGATGGATAATTATTGAAATTATATTCATCTGGTCGAACATACCATTTATTCGCTTGATTACGTATAACCGGTTTTTCATCCAGAACATAACCACACAACATTTCATTGGATTTGGTCAGCTCCAGATTTTCCAATTCCAATGAATCCAAATAACGTTTCAAATGGAATACATCATAAATGATGTCATCATCAATTTTTATAATAAATTTCGCCCGATCACAACGTTTGGCAGCCCATTCGAGGCCCATAACATGTTTGTAGGATAGATTTCGATAGGCTTCGTTAAAGTTGCCTTGCAGGAGATCGCCAAAACGTTCCTGTTCATTGAATATTTGTGATTGGGTGATGAAGTGTTCTTTGGTCGGTAACGATGCCAAAAGGAAAACACGTTGCATACCCATTTCGGCAAGTTTCGTTTGTGATATAGCCTGGCGGTGTGCTGCACGTAGTTCATCGTGACCAATATACGAGGTGACAATTAAAATTGCTGCAAAAACAAAATTGGGAATCTGTTAGAACTGGATAGAATTGCAAAGAAGTTAAAGCAGGATTTTATTTGATTAAAATTAAAATGAACAAGAGATTTTGCAGGGAAGATTCTTAGACTTTATTGGCTGAATAAAGAAGCTCTTCTAATTCTATGAACCTTAACTAATATCTCTGAACCTCTAAGTTCAGTAAAATCCCGAAGAGCTTCTAAAATGTCTCCTAAGTGCAGAACACAATTTAAAAGGTTTTCTATTTGTTAAACGATCTTAGGAAAAATATTTTAATTATTTTGTGTCTTAAAGAAAATGTCTTCCATATTTTGAAGACCTCTTAAAAAGTCCTTTAAAGGTTTTTTATATAGAGAAGATTCTCTGAAAAAAGAAAAGAAAGAAAACATCTTCCATATTTTGAAGACCTCTTAAAAAGCCCTTTAGAGGTTTTTTTATCTAGAGAAGATTCTTTGAAAAATCTTCTGCCTCTTCAAATCGGTTGGAAGAGCCTTCTGTAGGCAGAAGACAACCGAAGTACATGAAAAGTTGTTATTCACCCGTCTGGTTTTTGGGTCCCCTGTCTTTCATATTTTGAAGACCTCTTAAAAAGTCCTTTGAAAGATCTTCGGGCTCTTAAAATAGTTTTGAAAGGTCTTCTGTCTATGCAAACCCTTGGTAAGGCCTTGCGTCTTTAACAGGGAGCAACGGAAATATAAGAAATGAAGTTGTTATTTATCGTCTCGTTTTTTGCGCTAATCTGTACCCATTTCATAAAGGTTGCATCCTTCATGGTATGCGTCCACAGGGAATTTAAGACTTCTCGAATTTGTCTGGGTGACCTTTTGATAGTGGTGTTCCCGAAGATAACACCAAAGCAGTTATTGCATCGACATTTGGTTTGTTGTTGTATCAGTTATATATAAATATTATTCTTCTTGTCTGGTTCTGGTCATATCTCCAAATTAAGAAATGCAGTTACTTTCACAGGTTGCAACCACAGATCTTCTGGAGTAATTTGAATAAGTACAGTGTGGTGTGAGGGCAGACATTCTGTACGTCATCACCAATCCCAGCCCAATACGAATTGAGACGACTGCACCATCCTAAACGTAATTGGTCAAAGCTACTTGGGTTTTGTGTGGACAGCTGACGTTCTTTAGCTGCAATTGGTGCGGGGTGAACTCCTAGGACGACACTCACTCTGCGATGACTGCATCCTTTGAATACTATTTAGACCTATTATAGAGGCTCATTTTTATAACGTTGCATCTCTCTCTAGATCATGTAAATCCTTCCTGACACGCATGGGTGGGGGAGTCTTATCCACCATATAATGGTTAGAATGATTGTCCCTGCAACACCTAAGCAGGTACTGGAAAGAAAGCAAATTGCTATGCTGACGTAAGGGAAGAATTTTCGTCGCAAGTAGTAGGTCTACTGGAGATTTTGGTTTCTGGAACCGGTTTCCCAAGTGCCAGCAAGCGACTTAAGGTCCTTGTTACTACTTTTCAACTTATCGCAGATAGCTATGGTTTGCGCGGACAATTTAAACTTGCTGTCGAATGTGACCTTAAGAATTTTAGGGTAGTTGGGGGTCGGAATTGTATGTCCCTCTACCTGCACATTCAATGGCATTCTCATCTCTCCCGTCCATGTGGTGAACAATGTGATCGAAGATTTCGTGACGGATATTCTCATATTCCTCGCGTGAAAGAAGGCTGTCATAACAGCGGAATAGGTGTTCAACCTTACAACTATACTTCTCTACGCCATAATTGTAAACTCATCTGCATACCTAATGATCTTAAGGCTGGAGGGAGTGGAATACCGAAAAGGTTAAAGAGATCCTGAGACATTGCGCCACCTTGAGGAACTCCCTGTTTCACTCTAAGGCCGTGGAATATCGAAAAGGTAAAGGTTAAGCCGTCCCGGAGATATCAGTTCACCTATACCCGTCTAAAGGGCATGGAATACCGGAAAGATAGACCTTAAACACTTCCTGAGATATCACTGCATCTTGAAGAATTTCCAGCTTCACTAAACTGGGTTTGGACTTCTAATTCCGGAACACCAACGTTTCAAACTTGGCTTTTGTCTGTATCAAAGGCTTTTAACAGGTCAAACGCTGCCAACACTGTTCTATGTCACGGCCGATTCTGATTAAGTCCTCGACATTTGATTATGGTCCTTCATGAAGATGGACTACTGGTGTCAAGGGGCTTACCATTGATCGGCCTATTGAATTATATAAGACGTCTATAAGAACTCCTTGTCAGTGACCCAAGTGCTGCCGGTCAGTGACTAGCAGTGGCTTGCTCAGACGATTGAAAAGACTACCTTGGTGTAGTTGGTGGTCGGATTTGTTGTTCAATTGTTTTTTTTTTTTTTAAATTCCCAGACAAGCAATGAATTACTGAGATTCCCACCATCAGTAATCTGTGAACGAGTCCTAGAGAATTCAGAGGTATTCCCCGAAGGTGAAAAAGATGAATTAACAGATATTGTAGCTCTTTAAAGGCCTATAAACAAGATTTTATATGCCCTACGTCTACTAAAGAATGTGCTGTATGAGGATTGAGTTCCGAATAAATGCCTCAAGTCATGGTTGAAAAGTAGTAGATTCCAGTCACTAAAATATGACATTATGAAAAACTATTTGTCTATAGCTACGAATTGCTTAAAAAGTTTTCTGTCTGTTGTAAGGCTTAGCCATGGATTTGGCTTAGTTCCAGACAAACGAACAGCTGACGTGGTAACAGTGTGATGGTCACAGCTTTTGTTATGCATTTGTAAGGGCCCACAAAAATCAATATGTAAACCATAATATTAACAAAGAAAAAATCCTCAGAAATAGTGATTTCAAATCTTTGGCCGCATTCTCCCGGAGTATTTCGAAGATGCTGTTGCCACAAATGCTGCTGAATTAAAATATATATTCAATACAACTTATTATAACATTTTCAACAACAAATTGCACATCAGTCCATACCTGTTAGCTCCTTTTTAAAACGTTCACACAAATCGTTGTCGATTAAATACTCGAATTGTGTTAAGTTCAACAAAGGTCTGGACGTCACTTGTTTAACACCAACTTGGCTGCTTGTTAGTGGCTGTTGTTGCTGCAGCTGCTGCTGGTCCTCTTCATTTGCGGTGGCATCTTCCTTTGTATTTCGCAGTATTGTTATAAAATCATCGGAATAGTTTTCCGATTTGTCGTTTGTATTTAAAAATATAAACAAAAGGATCAACGAGACCGTTACAATTAACAATAATTTCCAAATAATACGGCGCAGGCGCATCTTTGTTGTTTTCCCTTTTTTGATGGTGGTGGTCTTTTGTAGAACTTCGTCTGCTTATCAATGAATTTGTTATTGTTGTACTATTTACATTAACCCTCTAAAGGGCAACAGATAATTCCAAAAGGGCTCTATAAATTTCCCGCAAATATTTGTGGTTTTTACTTTGCTTTGACATGCTAAATATGTTTTATTAATATAAACAAAGATTTAATAATTATTTTCACAGACAAATCCATATCTAGATTTGTTTATTTTATATTTGAAGCTTTCAATTTGACAATTTGATAACATGAAAATATTTTTCCACCAGAGGGTTAATTGCGTTTGCATTAGTAGCGCAGTAACGTGTCTTGCTAATATACAAAATTTCTGGTCACGTATGTACCGATTAACGACGTAACGTAAACATAAAATTGCCAAGGGGCACGTTAGGCCATAGCAACATTTAAATTACAATTGTTTTGGTGGTGGCGCTGTTAATACTCGACCATCGGGAGGCGGGCCAAAAACTTAAAACGAAAAAAAAAAATTACAATTGTTTTTCATATTTTGGCTTGTTATGCCAAAATCGTATAAGAAATGTGTAACTGTGTATGAAATGTTTTGAAAAATATAAGAAATATATTCTAAAAGCCATTTGTTTAAATTTGAATTTTACAACATTGGTAAGAAGACACAAGATAGAGTCGTATTTACTCTTTGTTGACAAAATATATGGAACCTTGTATATCATGCAGTCATATGTTTCCATTTTTTTTCATAAATTTGCCTTTGACAGCATTTAGCTTTCAAAATTTAAGGGAACCCCACCCATTCTCGATTTTCATTTTTCAAGATTTTCAATGGGCTGGTAAATCAATACCAATGCTTGTTAAGGTTTGTAACTTTACACATATATAATTGAAGATTTAAAATAAAAGAAAAATAATTTACAAACAAATGTTGTTATTGTTTTGTTGTTGTTTTTTGTAATTAAAGAAAAGTCCTTATTTTTGATGGCGGGCATGATAACTCCTCACTGGAACATCGGAATCCGAAAATTCCAACGGTGTTAGAAAGAGTACATGTCTGGCTCTCGTATGAACTAGGATTATTGATTTCGCTCTAAAATTAACAAAATGGTGGACCTTTGAAAAAATATTTTTGGAAAATCGCCGATTTTTTACCAAAGCCCAAGTCAAAAAATAAGGAAGATCTTCACCGATTGGCTTTATCCTAGTTCATACGATAGCTATACACTCACAGAGAAACGTGTAAAAATTTGAAATCGATTGGGTTATTACTTTTGAGTTATCGTGCCCGCCATTCGCAAAAAAAGTTTAGAGAAAAACGCGTTTAAAGTTTGAGAAGCCCTTCAGCCGTCACTTGATGCTGACACAATAAATCGGCTATATCTTCAAGAGTTCTTGAGATTTTCATTTGAAATTTTGTAGGGACATTCTTTAATTAGTGTAGATTCGAATTATATCAACAAAATTTTTGACCCCGAGAATGGGGGGTAACATGTCTACATTAAAAGCCATGTCTACGTTCGCCATTCCTGCAAAATTAATACGGTTATGCAGGATAACTTTAAGTGGCACAAGATCAGCAATTAAAGTAGGAAAGGACCTATCGGAGACCTTTAATGCCGAACGAGGATTCAGACAAAGTGACAGTTTGTCATGTGATCTTTTTAACATCCTACTAGAAAAGGTCATACGAGAGGCAAAGGTGAACAGAAATGGCACTCTGTACACCAAACAACACATGTTACTCGCCTACGTCAATGACATCGATATAATGGGTCGAACATTGCGAGCGGTAACAGCCACCTTTGAACAAATTGAGAAGGTGTCTACCAAAGTGGGTCTGGCAGTAAATGGCGAGAAGACCATGCTGATGGTATCAACGCGCAAGACGTCTAGTCGACTCGGACCAACTGTGGAACTTAAAAAACTAAAGCTTCCAGGTCGTGAACGATTTTATATACCTCGGTACCGCCATAAACAAATCTAATAACATCAGTTTTGAAATCCGGAGAAGAATAGTGTTGGCCAACATAGGCTATTATGGTCTGAGTAAGCAACTCAAAAGCAAGGCTATCTCTCGCCAGACCAAACTCACACTCTACAAGACGCTGATATTACCCGTGCTATTGTATGCATCTGAAGCATGGGTACTTGCGCAAGCAGATGAGGCAGTTTTTGGAGTGTTTGACAAAAAATGAATATCGCCGTCGAATGAATCATGAGCTGTACCATCTATTCTCGGACATCGACATAGACGTATCGAGCTGCAGCGACTAAATTGGCTAGGTCATGTTGTGAGAATGGATGACGATGGACCAGCTCAAAAGGCATATAAAAGCGAGCCAACTGATGGTTTACGCAGAAGGGGAATTGCATGAATTCGATTGAAAAATCAAGTAGAAGACAATATCTGGCAACATGGTCTTTCAAATTGGATGATTTTTTTTTTAAACTCGGCTTATGGAATAGCCGTTCTGTCACAAGTCAACTAGTAACGAAGTAAGAAAATCAGCTGAAAATGCAATGTCATTGGAATTTTCAAATAATGAAATCTAATCGAAATAAATTCAAATCCAATTGAAATGAAAAATGGATCATGGCATGATACAATGTAGGACAACTTGAGGCGAATAAAAAAAAAACAACTATGTACGTAGTGGCTTTTTCTGTTAAATATAAAAAAGTGGTTGTGTTTATTTGCATTTTTCGAACAAATAATTAAAATCACGTAATTCAATTAATTCCAGACGAAATATATAAAAATTGTCTAACTTTTAATATATTTCAACTTAATTTGACATGGTACTCAAACCAATACAAACACCTAGAGGAAATACGTATTTGATAGAACAAGCCACCTTTTGAAAAAATGTAATCATATTATAGCTATGCCCTAACATGTAATAATTTACAATGGGTCAAAGTCGACCTGTGTATCCCTAATCTGGAAACAATGTCAATTTTGTATACTAGTTCACTCACATCCCTTTTTGAACAATTCCCATCCCTCCATGTCTATTTCTAAACAAACAAGGATATCGGCGTTATGCATCCACCTTCGTTCGTAAACAAAGCTGTTAAGCGTGGTTTTATATTTGCCGGGATCGGGATCGGTGTTGAGAGTTTCTCTCTCTCTCAGTGGTAAATTGTGAATTGTGTTGGAAAACATTACCACAGGTAGAAACAAAAAAGTACGAAAATGTACCTTAAATTCTACTTCAAATGATAATAAATTATAATTATCGAGAAATATTGGCCAATATTTATACCAGTTATTTGCATAAATACCATATGTTATAATTTAAGCGTAAATGTATTCACCTAATTTTTGTTTTGGTACGTTTATGTCAATTCGTACCTTTTGTTAACAAAAAGTACGCTTGTTACAAAATTAAAAATAGCGCACCATTTCTCTCTCTCGTGTTCCACGTTTTTCTTTCATGTTCGTTATTTATCACCCATTTGATCCTTGCTCCTCTATTCGTGCAAGTGGAACGTTTTTAAGTTGGGTTGGTTTATTCCGCAAAAGGAGGCAGTGGAAAGAGGCTTTATTCAACTAACGCTCGAACGAATTGGACGAATCGTCGACACGGCCACAAAATAATAAAATAAAAATTTAAATCTTGTGAACAGCAGCGGGCGGCACAGCACATACACAAACGAAATTCATAATGGCAAATGAAATCATTAAGCCAAGAGAAAAGTTTTCTATGGAAAGTTAAATGAAATTGTGAATATTTTTTGCAATGAAAGTGAAACAAATCAATACAAAGTAATAACAAATTTGTTGTAGAAAAAAAAGATTTGAAATGCAAAGGAGTTTAAATTTAAAAGAAAATCGATTAATTTGTATGGTAAGTTGGTGCCAATTAATTTAAAAATATTTAATACGACTCAGCATATTCCTTAAAGTGCAAGTTTTATTCACAAAATTCCATAATTACTATTGAGAATCAATCTGGTTTACTTCCTTGCCTTTGTCTTTGAATTTTGTTCATATTCCTATTTTTTTTCTTCTTTCCTGAATAATGGCTTTAAGTTTCTTACATTAATTTTTAGATGATGTTTTTTTCTTCTTTTTTTCTTTATTTGCATATTTTTTCTCCTGCTCCTTCTTTAATACATAAATTTTCTTCAGGGAGGGCTACAGTCAGTCGCCGCACAGAAATACAATAAACTTATTTGAGTGTGTGTGTGTTTGTATATGTGTGTTGTTTTTTTCTTTTTGCACAAAACATGTGTAGTTGTGTTTGTGCTCCTTTTGTTTTTGTTTGAATTTTTTTTGCTATGTTTGTTGTGTTTCATTTTTCATATTGTTCCGCAGTCGTTCACTCTCTCTCCCACTCTGTCTCACATTGGTGGGCAATGTATCAGTGATGCTTTCAATGCGATTTTTGTAATTGTTTGGCGTGTAATTAATGAATTTGATAAATTTGTCTCATATTCTATCACAAAATGATTATTTCGATAGAATGTAATATTATATATTATAAAGTAATAAAAATATAGAATTTTAATTTAAAAATCCGTTAGCTGGTGGAAAAATATATGTTCTTTGAGCAAAAAAAACATAAGTCTTTTTTATCACTGAGTATGGAATTTAATGAATATTAAAGAAAAAGAACAACAGGTGTAAAGTTTTCCTGGACTGTTTTTTTTTTTTTTTTTAACTTTACTATTAATAACTCAAATTGTAGCATTGTATGCCATGATTATATTAAAGGTTCTCAAAAAATTTTCAGTAAATTTTCAATCTATCCAAAATCCGAAGTGTCATATGTTGGTTAAAAAGTACGTCTATTATCTTAACCATGAACTACGGGCATTTTTTTCTAAATTACTTAATCTGTTGAAAAACACTATCCTTTTCCGAATTTAAAAACTGATGTCATTAGTTTTGTTTATAGCAGTATCGCGCGTATTTAAAGGTGGCTGTTACCGCTCGCAATTTTCGACCCATTATGTCGATGTCGTCGGCGTAGGCGTAGGCGAG